GTTTCAGTTGGCAAGATAATCGAGATATCCTGATACGTGTTTAGACGTAATACGCTACTCATAGGGTTGCTGAAAATTCCTCCATATGGATTTCGTGTGGCCGGATGTGGAGAACATGAAGGTACTCAAACTAGAGATTGACCAGAAAGGCCCACAACGTTTATGGGAGTTCCTTGTCGTGTAATGCTCCATACTGAAATTGGTCTGTTTTCTCCTATCTACGCAGACTTGGTTGGCTATCTGTAAGAAAACCTACTGATAATTTGGTGAAAATCGCCAGAATTGATACACTGTCTTTCCTGAAAACATCAACACATACCTGTTTATTTGAGAACTTTTTATCTCCTCAACAATTTTGTTTGTTGCAATTGAATTTTTGCATTTCGATGAGTGGGTTACTGGAACCGCTTCCTCGTTCTAACGCGCGTTGGTTTACTGGCATGGTTTTGAATGGTCCCCTGATCTTAACTATTTTTCTAAATTCAGAAAATATGCATGACGCTGGACGCCACCAGCGATCGGTCCTTTACACCGCAGGATTAATTTGAACTCTCTCAAACACCGTTCACCACCCGAAGTCTAGTTTTCGAACTAAGACAGCATTGTTGTTAGCACAACCGCTGGATGTTGCGTCACAAACGGTGATTTGCGCTTTACAATCGGTTTACTATGTGCCTGGATTATTTGTTCAGCTAACGTCCAAAGTGGCTCCAAGGAAAGAAGAACGAGTAACTCTCACCGTGTACTTACGAAAAACTCAAGGTGATGACTAGGCAATCTTGATAAATTCGAATCTTTCTAATGTATATGTGTTTTGTAGAGGTTCGAGTGGCTCCCATTGGTCATTGCTTCTGGTGTCCATGACTACCACAATGAAGTATTTGTTAGACCATTCCCCCCAAGGTAGGCATAATTCTTCCGGCTAACCAACGAGCTGTTAGCTGTAAGTAGCTGTAAGTAGGCCAGTGAATAGACTGTGTTCTCTAATCATCCTTTCTCTGAAGGGCTTTCTGGGTTCTGGAAACGCGTGCCTGCGATTTCCTCTCGAATGCTTCGTGCCTCGCGTCCAAACAGTACAGTGTCTGACGAAGTAAAGGAATAAAAAGTACGAATGGCCTTCTCGATGGCGACATTTATACTGAAAATTCCCATGAACCGAATACAAAAATATTGCTTGTGGACAATGAAACTGGGCCATCTATCGTACCATGGCACATTGAAAATAGTTCGGCAAGCGAATTAACATGTAACAAACCAGCATAGGTTTTTAATTGTAATTATGCTAAATTGGAGATTCATATGTGCATATCTCGAAAGCATATTAACCAGTACTGGTGTTACGGTGATACTACTGATGGGGAGTCATGAGAGTAGTATGTTTTCTACATCTAAATTCGCTTTGCGTCTCTTGAAAAGTGAGATCTATTGCGGAATTTGATTGTTTTGTAGCATTTGTTTGGAGTTGGGCAACAATCGGTGAATACCCAGGAAAGCTCAGGAAGACGAGTTCAAGAGAAGATGGATGTTCAGTTTTTGTAAACAAGATGCATGTGAGAGTTTTGCTTCCCTGACCAATGGTCTGTAACTGGTTTGTTGGCATTTCCTAATGAACAACTCCGCAGAGAAGGCCTTCTTCCTTTCATTTGTACATGGATTCGCTGGACGGATGACAGGGTTAAGATAGGTTTCAACTTCGGCACAAACTACTGCCCTGTGGGTCACTTTCTTTTCAGCTAATGTTGATCGCTTAGCCAAATGACACAGTGTTGAGTGAGTTAGTTTTATGCTTAGTTCTTGCTTATGACATAAGTTATTCTTGGACAAACTGCAGGTTGATTCGTAGCAACGCGTGACCCTTAGTTGAGAAATATGACAAAAAGCCAGAGCTTTCCTCGGGAAAAAAGTGTTCGTCACTCACGATCATGGAGGTGGAATTCCTGTTTGTCTGATTCGTCACCAACCCACCAGAGACCCCGTGTTCGTATGGTTAGAAACATTGACGCACGTTTCGGTAGCTGAGTGATTTCGCCCGGTGAGTTGCCAAACAGTGTTCTGTTCACAACTTCACTGTTCGTATCGTAAATAGATATTTCGTACTGAGTGCTGCTACATTCCCTGTTTTTCTCCCAAGTTACTGTTATCCGAGACTCGGTGTGATTTGGACTGATTCGGATATTGCGAGGTGGATCGAAATCTGTAAAGGAAGAAATGGTTAACATTCGATCAGCTGTTTAATTGAATGATTCGAATAACAAGCCCAATGCGTTCCCAACGAAATGTTAGCTGTGTTCAACAGATGAGACGAAATTTATTGATTTAGGCGTGATTTAGTTAAACGAGCATTTCACAGAGTCTATGGGAATTGGCTTGTTGCTGATACACATGAGGACCACTCTCAACAAAGGCATGTATAAATTTCCTCTTCGTGCATATATCTTTGAAAACCCAGGCTGCAATACTTTGTGCGCCGAGTATTCATGCACTGTGATTTCATTTGGTTGGTTTCCGAGTGCCAGGAAGATAAAGTAATCAAGGTCCCAGAAACATTTTGCCTTGTGGCACAAAATTACTCCTTTCCTCGATTCTGTATGGAACATCCATTGGATGAGAACGTCTGCTGTTGGTTCCAAGTATACTCCTGCTTGATGACATCGCCCTTCGGAAGGCTTCCTGAGACAAACTTTATCATAAATGGCAATGGAAAAATCTCTACAATCAGTCCATTAGACAACCAGTTTTTAGTGTAGTAGTAAGCGCTTCAAAATTGAATACATCCAGCACGCGAAATCCAACAATGAATATGAGTGATCGTTGGGTGGTTTTTTGTCAGGTTTGTTGTTACCAGTACAACAGTTTTGGTTAACAGTTTCCACGACCGAAATGCACTCCGTGGATCAAAAAACGGCTTATCTCACCCAGACTGAATACGCATGACAGAGTTCTATGAAGAACTTGGAGCTACAAAACCGCCTCAGAGTGGCAATTCGAAGACGCTACTGCCATCATATCTCAATTACTTATTACACACCTGGGAGTTTACATCCCTTTTCCCCTCCAGGCAGTTTCCTTCGGAAAAAGAACCTCTCACCTACGCTCCATTTTGGATAGTCTCTCTGATGGACACGATCCTCTCAGAGGAGGCCTCCATGTAAACTATGTCATTCCCAGTTAAAACGTTCAAAAACTAAAACATCAGAGTAAGCAGCTTGACCTGGCACAAAACAAAACATTTAACAATTTTATGGTTGATTTTTTAGTAGGCTTGTACACCTTTTGTCATGGGCACCATTAGTCTTGTGTAAAACCACCTTTTCGTTCATGTGAGCAACCTACAATAATGTTGCGTTCCGACTGTGTGTGTGCGTGGCTTCCAGCTTGGCTTACTGAGACCCACTGAAACGGAATGTCCTCGAACCAAGCTCCCATCGACAACATGGCGGAAGCATGTTTACGACGAGCGAACGATAGCATTCAGTTGACTGGTCTCACTGATTCAGAGCATAAATGATGCCAGTTTTACTACTCATTATATACTGAGTACCGCTCAGTATATCAGATTATTACTTGCTTATCAGCAACCACCTATCACCCTTAGGAATTCCAAATCTCTGGAGTAATCAGTTGGGTAGTATGACTGCCAACGGTCAGTAATATCCTCTCACGTCGCATGTGTAGTCTCTCTGAGTGAATCTGCATAACGCCCCGTGTTTGTAATCTTATACACTCTCCAAGAGTAATGGCTGCAATTTCCGAATAAGGTCTTTTTGCGAGTATCTTTTCCTCTTACCGATTTTCAACGCTGCGTTCCATTTTTTCGAATGCCCACTGCTGCACTCGAATGGCGGTTTAACGCTTGGTAGTTGATCATTTGTATGCCGAGCTTAACGATTGACTTGCAAACATTTCGTGGCCATCCGAAACGACAATTGTTGCGTCGGCAGCTTCCCTCTCTACGCTTGCGCTTATATAGCTTGAGAAGAGCACTGTAACCCAAGTGACGGTTCATTGTCACCTCACTTGTTGTCTTGTTGGTCCGCCCGCAGTCTGTCGAAGTTAACATTTTCCGCTGCCACATTCACTCGAAAAAGGGTTAATTGTGTTGGATGACAGCGGTTTTCCGCCAACGCGAGCGGCTGCCTGTTTCCTCAACGTGTTCTAGTCACTCAGCCTGAATCTAAACCGACCACAACTGGGTGGTTTCCGCTCTGTGCCAGGACATCAATTGAATTTGGCGAGATTATGGGACGACACTTTATTGGGCTCTCTCATTACATGTCTTCGCATATGCATTTCATGAAACAGCCAAAGCCATTAAACACATGAAAACGTATAATTTAACAAACAAATGAATGAATAATTAAATGGATTGCTAGATAGTACAAGTGTCCAACCAACCGGCCAACAACAAACGATAAGTCGAACGGCTGAGAACCGGAAAAGAATTCAACAGATATCTAATGCGTGTCGTCTTCCTATTGTACACCGGAATCAAAGAAGGTGGCTGACTGTACTGCTTCAAGAGATTTTGTCCCTAAGTCTACTTTAATTACCAAATGACGATCTGGATCTATATAGTCCGCCTGAACCAGATAAACCCACTGGAAACCGTGCTGTGTTTGCCACCCTTCATTAGGTGGGCGGTACTTCTTCGGCATCCTGGTTTGTTGTTCTTTTGTCTACTTTTCAGACGTGTGCAACGCATCTTAAATAAAACTTAAAGGAACAGCCCTCCTGGTCCGAGCTGTGAACATTTATCGATTCTACAGAAGTATCCAGTCGCAGCCGGAACTAAAAGATCGTGTCGCAAAAAAAGTATTGTTCGCTACAGGAAATGGTGTCTGATGCTGTCAGACGCTGATCGAAAAAATAGCCTGGTTATAGAAATCAATGATTACCAGCTTATTCAAATGCTGTACGGGGGATTTAGGTCACATCCACAGCGACCGGTTGTTATTAAAAGCTAGCCTACACTTCCTCCTGCTATTTGTGAGCCGACAAAGGAGCTTCATCGTCGAACATACTCATCACAAGAAAGGGTTTGTCGAGAGTAAATGTGGAGACACCAGCCAAGGCTACTGATCATAAGGTTGCGGACGGTCTACCGTCGATCCTGCTCTTCCCATTCGGGCTCAGCACAGTGGCCGTGCGGTGCAGGCCTTTCGGGACACAGCTGTTTACAGGCCCAATTGATCTCTGTAGTAGCCGCCAGGTTGCGGACTACCGTCGATCCTGCTCTTCCCATTCGGGCTCAGCACAGTGGCCGTGCGGTGCAGGCCTTTCGGGACACAGCTGTTTACTTACACAATTGATCTCTGTAGTAGCCGCCTCGATGTGTCAGAGAGCTCACGCGTGTGCGTGTGCGTTCGTCACTCCATCATGGAAATGCGCATGACTAGTGGCTGATTGGATGTGTCCAGTGGCTTGCGTGTCTATCCTTCAACGCAGCGGAGATGGCTGAACAGATTTCGGACTCACACAAGGTGGACCAGTTGGGGCCCCATGTACACCCGTGACCCTGCATACGTGTTTTAACCTGGGGTTCAGTTAATCCACCTACCGAAACCAGTTTGTTGCGTATTGCGGTCCATCGTAAAGTCACAACGGTTTGGGAATGAAAGTTGGAAGCGCTTTCGCTACATTTGGACTGAAACAGCAGAAAATTAAGACGTTTCAGTACAAATCGGAAGTAAATTTGACTTGGAACAAGCAATCGCTTTGTTTGCTGAACACTTTGAATCTAGGTTGCTTATCGTTTGATAGTAGGTTTCAAACGTAGGCAGGCAGAGAGATGGAATGACTTATATAGAAAAACTGACTGCTTTGGTTTGATAAAGGTTGAGAGTAATGATTTACCTCGTGGAAGGGACAGTTTGACTCCTTCCGACCGTCCACTTCCTCCGTGAATATTCTCACTTGAGACGTATATGTAGTGTGAAGTGCATGGAGTGACCCAATCCAGATAAATCTCCGGTTTCGCGGATATGACGTTAGAATTTTGTTTGCCGGCCGACAGAAGGACGGTAAACTTGGTGGCCGGACAAATTTCGGAGTCATTCCATGTCACGTGAATTTTTTTCTCATCCCGAAGTACATTCAATGAAATGTTGGTAGGTTTCAGGGGTACTAGAAAGATTGGAGGTTCAAAATGGTTGAAGATAGGCGGTAAAATATAGCTTCGTATAAATATGGCATGGTATAATATTCTATATTAGAGTTTGGCACAGCTGAGTGAAGTATAGTGTGGTACAGTAAAGCACAGCATATCGTGCTACAACGAAGTGTAGTCTGGTGGAGTATGTAGACGAGAATGAGGTCCACCGAAAAGCTACCGATTCGACCAAAGTAAGACAAGAAACGTGTCAGCAAGCACTCCAAGTGGAAACATCAACTCAGTTCTGGTAACCTCCTGATATGCCTCGCTTAGTAGATTCTAGATTTCAACGTGGCACTGTTGCCAAATGTTTACCCGGTACCTGGTTTGAAGGTGTAAATCTATTACGTTCGCTTGCCATATTCCCGGAAGGTCCATACCAGCATATCGAATTCGGTCATTCAGCGTGAGACAAAACTGAAAGATTAGTCGCTTCGTCATATTCTGTTCTGTCATCCCAAATCATGGCACAGCGACTACCGTGACGTCGGAAAAATTACCCTAAAACTCATCGAGCCAAACTCTGTTGAAATGTTCAAGTTTGATAATCAGATGCATATAGCATTCGCTGGCCTCATGTGCAGGAAATTCGGTGATCGAGTCGTGATACGTCCACTTTCGACTACCCCTATAAAATACGAGTTCAGTGACCTCGTTAACCAGCAAGAAATCTTCGGATTACTTGTGTTATATCTTCTGATTCGTCAATCTGAGGTATCTGCAGCTGACCCGCTCCAGTGCCTAGTGTCGGAGAGAAAATACTCACAGAAGGGAACACAACAGCTGTATTCCGAACAAGCGAGTGAGTGAGAGAGCGAGAGCGAGTGCAAAAGTTACAACGGCCGCACGCTATTTAAAGGGGACTTTCTGACATTGATCCAGGCTGTCTGATAGGCGTTAGTGATCACCCATCAACATCGATCGTGTCTCTGTGAAAAGCCTGAATGCTGATCACATTCGGTCGTGCTTCTGTGGCGCAGAGAACACTCATCAGGTTTTACTGAGTTGATCGAATGATTGACTGGCCTGGATGCTTGCCGGCTTTCCAGTTGAGCTTTTGGTGGAGCGGTAGGTTCCGGTCGTTCAGAAGTTGATTCCAGGACTCTGACCTTCGTCATAACTTGGAAGAGCTCATCTGCACCATTATTTGGAAAGGTGATCAAAGTCCGGGTGAACGTGAACGTTTTACATGTACCTAGACTTCTCTGGGTGTTTAGCTGATTTGTACTGACCCCGAAAACGGAAAAGTCCCCTAAACACTTGATCCATGTTAGAAAAGTTTGTCATCTTTAAATGAGTACTAAAAAGAATAATTCTGTTTGTTTGGCTGACGTCTTTTTGTAATCCGACCTTATGAATATCACAAAACCGGTGTCAATGGTCTTTTGATCAGCAGGTCCTAAGATGGGAGTAGTTTCCTTTCACGAAAAACCAATTGCTGTAGTCATCCTTCCTCGGGTAACTTGAGTAAAATATGCTAACATGAGTCTGTCATTCACTGCTGTTAGTCAGGCAGTTTCCTTCGGAAAAAGAACCTCTCACCTACGCTCCATTTTGGATAGTCTCTCTGATGGACACGATCCTCTCAGAGGAGGCCTCCATGTAAACTATGTCATTCCCAGTTAAAACGTTCAAAAACTAAAACATCAGAGTAAGCAGCTTGACCTGGCACAAAACAAAACATTTAACAATTTTATGGTTGATTTTTTAGTAGGCTTGTACACCTTTTGTCATGGGCACCATTAGTCTTGTGTAAAACCACCTTTTCGTTCATGTGAGCAACCTACAATAATGTTGCGTTCCGACTGTGTGTGTGCGTGGCTTCCAGCTTGGCTTACTGAGACCCACTGAAACGGAATGTCCTCGAACCAAGCTCCCATCGACAACATGGCGGAAGCATGTTTACGACGAGCGAACGATAGCATTCAGTTGACTGGTCTCACTGATTCAGAGCATAAATGATGCCAGTTTTACTACTCATTATATACTGAGTACCGCTCAGTATATCAGATTATTACTTGCTTATCAGCAACCACCTATCACCCTTAGGAATTCCAAATCTCTGGAGTAATCAGTTGGGTAGTATGACTGCCAACGGTCAGTAATATCCTCTCACGTCGCATGTGTAGTCTCTCTGAGTGAATCTGCATAACGCCCCGTGTTTGTAATCTTATACACTCTCCAAGAGTAATGGCTGCAATTTCCGAATAAGGTCTTTTTGCGAGTATCTTTTCCTCTTACCGATTTTCAACGCTGCGTTCCATTTTTTCGAATGCCCACTGCTGCACTCGAATGGCGGTTTAACGCTTGGTAGTTGATCATTTGTATGCCGAGCTTAACGATTGACTTGCAAACATTTCGTGGCCATCCGAAACGACAATTGTTGCGTCGGCAGCTTCCCTCTCTACGCTTGCGCTTATATAGCTTGAGAAGAGCACTGTAACCCAAGTGACGGTTCATTGTCACCTCACTTGTTGTCTTGTTGGTCCGCCCGCAGTCTGTCGAAGTTAACATTTTCCGCTGCCACATTCACTCGAAAAAGGGTTAATTGTGTTGGATGACAGCGGTTTTCCGCCAACGCGAGCGGCTGCCTGTTTCCTCAACGTGTTCTAGTCACTCAGCCTGAATCTAAACCGACCACAACTGGGTGGTTTCCGCTCTGTGCCAGGACATCAATTGAATTTGGCGAGATTATGGGACGACACTTTATTGGGCTCTCTCATTACATGTCTTCGCATATGCATTTCATGAAACAGCCAAAGCCATTAAACACATGAAAACGTATAATTTAACAAACAAATGAATGAATAATTAAATGGATTGCTAGATAGTACAAGTGTCCAACCAACCGGCCAACAACAAACGATAAGTCGAACGGCTGAGAACCGGAAAAGAATTCAACAGATATCTAATGCGTGTCGTCTTCCTATTGTACACCGGAATCAAAGAAGGTGGCTGACTGTACTGCTTCAAGAGATTTTGTCCCTAAGTCTACTTTAATTACCAAATGACGATCTGGATCTATATAGTCCGCCTGAACCAGATAAACCCACTGGAAACCGTGCTGTGTTTGCCACCCTTCATTAGGTGGGCGGTACTTCTTCGGCATCCTGGTTTGTTGTTCTTTTGTCTACTTTTCAGACGTGTGCAACGCATCTTAAATAAAACTTAAAGGAACAGCCCTCCTGGTCCGAGCTGTGAACATTTATCGATTCTACAGAAGTATCCAGTCGCAGCCGGAACTAAAAGATCGTGTCGCAAAAAAAGTATTGTTCGCTACAGGAAATGGTGTCTGATGCTGTCAGACGCTGATCGAAAAAATAGCCTGGTTATAGAAATCAATGATTACCAGCTTATTCAAATGCTGTACGGGGGATTTAGGTCACATCCACAGCGACCGGTTGTTATTAAAAGCTAGCCTACACTTCCTCCTGCTATTTGTGAGCCGACAAAGGAGCTTCATCGTCGAACATACTCATCACAAGAAAGGGTTTGTCGAGAGTAAATGTGGAGACACCAGCCAAGGCTACTGATCATAAGGTTGCGGACGGTCTACCGTCGATCCTGCTCTTCCCATTCGGGCTCAGCACAGTGGCCGTGCGGTGCAGGCCTTTCGGGACACAGCTGTTTACAGGCCCAATTGATCTCTGTAGTAGCCGCCTCGATGTGTCAGAGAGCTCACGCGTGTGCGTGTGCGTTCGTCACTCCATCATGGAAATGCGCATGACTAGTGGCTGATTGGATGTGTCCAGTGGCTTGCGTGTCTATCCTTCAACGCAGCGGAGATGGCTGAACAGATTTCGGACTCACACAAGGTGGACCAGTTGGGGCCCCATGTACACCCGTGACCCTGCATACGTGTTTTAACCTGGGGTTCAGTTAATCCACCTACCGAAACCAGTTTGTTGCGTATTGCGGTCCATCGTAAAGTCACAACGGTTTGGGAATGAAAGTTGGAAGCGCTTTCGCTACATTTGGACTGAAACAGCAGAAAATTAAGACGTTTCAGTACAAATCGGAAGTAAATTTGACTTGGAACAAGCAATCGCTTTGTTTGCTGAACACTTTGAATCTAGGTTGCTTATCGTTTGATAGTAGGTTTCAAACGTAGGCAGGCAGAGAGATGGAATGACTTATATAGAAAAACTGACTGCTTTGGTTTGATAAAGGTTGAGAGTAATGATTTACCTCGTGGAAGGGACAGTTTGACTCCTTCCGACCGTCCACTTCCTCCGTGAATATTCTCACTTGAGACGTATATGTAGTGTGAAGTGCATGGAGTGACCCAATCCAGATAAATCTCCGGTTTCGCGGATATGACGTTAGAATTTTGTTTGCCGGCCGACAGAAGGACGGTAAACTTGGTGGCCGGACAAATTTCGGAGTCATTCCATGTCACGTGAATTTTTTTCTCATCCCGAAGTACATTCAATGAAATGTTGGTAGGTTTCAGGGGTACTAGAAAGATTGGAGGTTCAAAATGGTTGAAGATAGGCGGTAAAATATAGCTTCGTATAAATATGGCATGGTATAATATTCTATATTAGAGTTTGGCACAGCTGAGTGAAGTATAGTGTGGTACAGTAAAGCACAGCATATCGTGCTACAACGAAGTGTAGTCTGGTGGAGTATGTAGACGAGAATGAGGTCCACCGAAAAGCTACCGATTCGACCAAAGTAAGACAAGAAACGTGTCAGCAAGCACTCCAAGTGGAAACATCAACTCAGTTCTGGTAACCTCCTGATATGCCTCGCTTAGTAGATTCTAGATTTCAACGTGGCACTGTTGCCAAATGTTTACCCGGTACCTGGTTTGAAGGTGTAAATCTATTACGTTCGCTTGCCATATTCCCGGAAGGTCCATACCAGCATATCGAATTCGGTCATTCAGCGTGAGACAAAACTGAAAGATTAGTCGCTTCGTCATATTCTGTTCTGTCATCCCAAATCATGGCACAGCGACTACCGTGACGTCGGAAAAATTACCCTAAAACTCATCGAGCCAAACTCTGTTGAAATGTTCAAGTTTGATAATCAGATGCATATAGCATTCGCTGGCCTCATGTGCAGGAAATTCGGTGATCGAGTCGTGATACGTCCACTTTCGACTACCCCTATAAAATACGAGTTCAGTGACCTCGTTAACCAGCAAGAAATCTTCGGATTACTTGTGTTATATCTTCTGATTCGTCAATCTGAGGTATCTGCAGCTGACCCGCTCCAGTGCCTAGTGTCGGAGAGAAAATACTCACAGAAGGGAACACAACAGCTGTATTCCGAACAAGCGAGTGAGTGAGAGAGCGAGAGCGAGTGCAAAAGTTACAACGGCCGCACGCTATTTAAAGGGGACTTTCTGACATTGATCCAGGCTGTCTGATAGGCGTTAGTGATCACCCATCAACATCGATCGTGTCTCTGTGAAAAGCCTGAATGCTGATCACATTCGGTCGTGCTTCTGTGGCGCAGAGAACACTCATCAGGTTTTACTGAGTTGATCGAATGATTGACTGGCCTGGATGCTTGCCGGCTTTCCAGTTGAGCTTTTGGTGGAGCGGTAGGTTCCGGTCGTTCAGAAGTTGATTCCAGGACTCTGACCTTCGTCATAACTTGGAAGAGCTCATCTGCACCATTATTTGGAAAGGTGATCAAAGTCCGGGTGAACGTGAACGTTTTACATGTACCTAGACTTCTCTGGGTGTTTAGCTGATTTGTACTGACCCCGAAAACGGAAAAGTCCCCTAAACACTTGATCCATGTTAGAAAAGTTTGTCATCTTTAAATGAGTACTAAAAAGAATAATTCTGTTTGTTTGGCTGACGTCTTTTTGTAATCCGACCTTATGAATATCACAAAACCGGTGTCAATGGTCTTTTGATCAGCAGGTCCTAAGATGGGAGTAGTTTCCTTTCACGAAAAACCAATTGCTGTAGTCATCCTTCCTCGGGTAACTTGAGTAAAATATGCTAACATGAGTCTGTCATTCACTGCTGTTAGTTGACACCTAGAATGCACCTCTTGGTAGTAGTAGGTATCTATACACCAACTGTTTGGTAAAGTATGTGGTGTGAAATGTCTAAAATAGCCCAACATTTTCCCGTCCACTTGGACACACAGAAGCTCAAAAAGATGGTCATGACTAGCGAATATACACTCATTTGCAAGCTAATTTGTTTTTTCGAGAGACTCACATGGAACCCAGCTGAATCTCTCGTTTGTGATGTTCTCAAAGGACTGCGCATACCTGATGAGCCCCATATAGGGCGAAACCGGTCGTGAGCTGTCGACGGATTTTCAGCAACCTTATGAGTAGTACATTACAAAGATATACATGTATCGCGATACGTCGAATATCGTAGCGACCGAAACATGAGGCGGCTTGGTGCAGCACATTCAGTTGCCTGAGAACATCACAAACGAGACATTCAGCCGGGTTCCAAATGAGTCTCTCGAAAAACCAAATTAGTTTGCAACTTAGTAGATTCTAGATTTCAACGTGGCACTGTTGCCAAATGTTTACCCGGTACCTGGTTTGAAGGTGTAAATCTATTACGTTCGCTTGCCATATTCCCGGAAGGTCCATACCAGCATATCGAATTCGGTCATTCAGCGTGAGACAAAACTGAAAGATTAGTCGCTTCGTCATATTCTGTTCTGTCATCCCAAATCATGGCACAGCGACTACCGTGACGTCGGAAAAATTACCCTAAAACTCATCGAGCCAAACTCTGTTGAAATGTTCAAGTTTGATAATCAGATGCATATAGCATTCGCTGGCCTCATGTGCAGGAAATTCGGTGATCGAGTCGTGATACGTCCACTTTCGACTACCCCTATAAAATACGAGTTCAGTGACCTCGTTAACCAGCAAGAAATCTTCGGATTACTTGTGTTATATCTTCTGATTCGTCAATCTGAGGTATCTGCAGCTGACCCGCTCCAGTGCCTAGTGTCGGAGAGAAAATACTCACAGAAGGGAACACAACAGCTGTATTCCGAACAAGCGAGTGAGTGAGAGAGCGAGAGCGAGTGCAAAAGTTACAACGGCCGCACGCTATTTAAAGGGGACTTTCTGACATTGATCCAGGCTGTCTGATAGGCGTTAGTGATCACCCATCAACATCGATCGTGTCTCTGTGAAAAGCCTGAATGCTGATCACATTCGGTCGTGCTTCTGTGGCGCAGAGAACACTCATCAGGTTTTACTGAGTTGATCGAATGATTGACTGGCCTGGATGCTTGCCGGCTTTCCAGTTGAGCTTTTGGTGGAGCGGTAGGTTCCGGTCGTTCAGAAGTTGATTCCAGGACTCTGACCTTCGTCATAACTTGGAAGAGCTCATCTGCACCATTATTTGGAAAGGTGATCAAAGTCCGGGTGAACGTGAACGTTTTACATGTACCTAGACTTCTCTGGGTGTTTAGCTGATTTGTACTGACCCCGAAAACGGAAAAGTCCCCTAAACACTTGATCCATGTTAGAAAAGTTTGTCATCTTTAAATGAGTACTAAAAAGAATAATTCTGTTTGTTTGGCTGACGTCTTTTTGTAATCCGACCTTATGAATATCACAAAACCGGTGTCAATGGTCTTTTGATCAGCAGGTCCTAAGATGGGAGTAGTTTCCTTTCACGAAAAACCAATTGCTGTAGTCATCCTTCCTCGGGTAACTTGAGTAAAATATGCTAACATGAGTCTGTCATTCACTGCTGTTAGTTGACACCTAGAATGCACCTCTTGGTAGTAGTAGGTATCTATACACCAACTGTTTGGTAAAGTATGTGGTGTGAAATGTCTAAAATAGCCCAACATTTTCCCGTCCACTTGGACACACAGAAGCTCAAAAAGATGGTCATGACTAGCGAATATACACTCATTTGCAAGCTAATTTGTTTTTTCGAGAGACTCACATGGAACCCAGCTGAATCTCTCGTTTGTGATGTTCTCAAAGGACTGCGCATACCTGATGAGCCCCATATAGGGCGAAACCGGTCGTGAGCTGTCGACGGATTTTCAGCAACCTTATGAGTAGTACATTACAAAGATATACATGTATCGCGATACGTCGAATATCGTAGCGACCGAAACATGAGGCGGCTTGGTGCAGCACATTCAGTTGCCTGAGAACATCACAAACGAGACATTCAGCCGGGTTCCAAATGAGTCTCTCGAAAAACCAAATTAGTTTGCAAGTGAGTGTGCATTCGCTAATTTCGTGCAATTTGGTTTCAAGTAGAACGTTAGGTTGACGGAAATCCGGGTACTGTGCCTACCTGATGAGCCCCAAATAGGGCGAAACCGGTCGTGGACTGTCAACGGATTTTCAGCAACCTCATTAGTAGTACATTACAAAGATGGTCATGAATACTTGAACAGAAAAATTATTTTTGCTGATCTGGCATTTCATTCTGTCCGCCCCGTTTTCCATTACTATCTCTAATTTCCAGCGTAGTGTTCGATATAAAACTTCGCCATCTATCGCATGAAAGTATCAAAATCAAACATCTCACCATGCATATTTGAAATTTTATTTAATGCATTCATGTAAACGGTGGAAGGAGTGAAACGTTTAGATATGCTGGATAATAAGTTTCTTATTAGAATTCCAGTGGTTGGTTAAGGTGAAATCTAGCTAGTCATAGGGCAACAACAACTTTTCAGAATACTTATTTTGGTTCACTTGATGCACTGAATTTGTCCGGGAAATCTCTCCTCTTTAGACCTAACAAATGGTCTCCTGATCTCACATCAGTGAGAACGTCCTTCTCAGGATAAGAAGAACGTTCAAAAGAGGGTGATGCGTGCGCGAAGTTAAACTGGATGTCAGTTCCTGTTACTCACAACAAGGTGGGCAACCTGACTTCATCAGGGACCAGCTTCAAATACCTTTCAGATTTAGAACCATAGCCGTTTGTCAGCTGCTACCGAAGAGGCAGAAAGTAGATCATTCTCGGGCGAGTTCAAATGCGTTAGGGGAAAACAAATCCACTTGAGTTACTTCAGTAAATGCAGGATTCGTTCTGAAAATTGTGTGCCATAAAGGCGAGAAGCATGTGTTGAGAAGTTTCCATATTCGGAACCGTCAGTAATGTGGACATCACGGAATATCGCTGCGAACTGAACCCGAAACGGCAGTGATGTAGCTGAAAACTAAATTGCTCGGCTACGAGCAGCTGATTCACAGTGTGGTTTACAGGATATAGCTTATGAGCCGTATGGTCGCGAAATTCACACTGCATGGTCAGAACTCCGGTAGCCCACCTGTCAGACAGAACTACTCTTCCTTCTGAGCTGCTTCCGAAAGGAGTTTTGGATTCCATCATAGACTCCATTCTTCAACTGATGTCAGTTAATGCAGGAAAGTTGAGAATCACTGAGAATCACGCTTATTCAGAATTATTCGCAATATGTACGTCAGTAATACACTCATTTGCAAATTAATTTAGTTTTTCACGAGAAACTCAACTAAATCTCTCGTTTACGATATTCTACAACTGAATGTGCTGCACACAGACCGAGAGAGATTCAGTTGTGTCTCTCGCGTGAAAACCAAATTGTTTTGCAAATGAGTGCAGTTCTCGAAAACAGTCCAATTTGGGTTCAAACAGAACATAAGGTTGACGGAAACTCAGGGACTGCGCCTACCTGATGAGCCCCCAAGAAGGGCGAAACTGGTCGTGGGTTGTCGAAAAGTTTTCAGCAAACTTGCGAGTAGTTTCCTTTGTGAAAATGTACACGAGTACTTTCCCAAAGGGAAATTTTCAAGCCATGAAGAGCACTCTAAAGTTGATGAACGTGCGGACCGGGCCTAGCCGTCTGTTGATGTGACACGGACAGTTTTTACAAGAAGCCAAATGGCGAAGGCGAATTTTTACCTGCAGGTATAATGTGTTCTGTTCCATTTGTTTCTGGCCCGGATCCAATGCTATTGCGACCCCTTATACCAAAAAGTAACGGTTTGCACTTTGGAAGGTCGGAAAATGCTGCATTTTTCCCCTTCGTTTCCTCGGATTTCACAGAGGGTCCATTTTTTATGTACACATTCACAATAAAGTCAACGACCTCACAGGGACCTTCATACGTCCATACGACAGAAGTACGCGTTTCGCTCCTCACTGTTGTTGTTGCGATGATTGTCTGTGGTTGATTAGGAACTGGAAGGTTCAGAAAAGAATTAATTGCAAGTGGAAACACACAAAGACATTCTGAACAGAAATGACATTACTTTTTTCCAAACAATAGCATGTGCAGAAATAAACAGGCGCAATTAAAGGTCAAAAGTTCACATGTCGTCGGTTAGCTGAACGATAAAATGACCTGTTGCCCAAGTCCATCCATCCACGTTTGATCCAGATCAATAACTGTAGGATAGGGGCATTGGTTCTTCTGAAACGGTACTAATAAAAAGTTATACAAATCGGAACCAAATATCACAGACCTCTAAAGTGTTTCATTCAGCTCCCCGGCACACTGACTGTTAGCATTTTATCACGAACGTGTAGAGTGTTTCCCACGGTTGGTCTTGAAAAGGTTCATACGGGACCTTTTATCAAGTGAATGTTACCCTCATGATAATGTCCCCATTCACTGGGCCATTCCACCTGTGTGCTTTTGATCTCTACCTCTTTTAGTCTTCGGCACCTCCGATCACTTTGCAGCGAAGGCCGTCTCGTCCGACACTGGTATATTACGTGTGTTTGTAGCGGCTACCCTCCTGTCTACTTACCCCTGGAACTAATTTTATTAGTACATCCACATAGACTGTCTTTTATCCTGTTTAGCCCACAACCACGAGCATCACCTACCAGTTCATCAGCACCTGTTTCTCTCCTTCGCTAAGGGGAGAGTATTTGTAGAGGTCACTCGTCAGATCACGCATCACAAACACTCACACTACGTGACTATTCCTGTCCCACTTGCAACCTTAGTCGACAACATGTACAGTGTAACACTTCTCTACCATTTTCGTTTACACGGTTACCACTTGCGTCACGCGCCAGGATTATGAACTTCATTCAACACATCAGGTCAAGTTGTATTCATGTTCGTGCAAGTATCAAACACGAAGGGACACCCCTCTCTTCACAATGCACATAATAAATAGGTATACAACTGAGCTCAAAACACACACTGGCGCGTACAGGGCAGGAAGTCAACAGAGCTCCGCAAGTCTCCACGGCTAACTACGGAACACGTGTGGCAGCTGTACTGCAGAGAAGACACGTCCCGCGTTCAGGAACTTCACTCAGGATCTCTCAACAAGTGTCCTCAAACGATAAGTCACTTTTTTTGGCTTATTCCACTTTTCGCATTGTATCTTTTATTATCAAGTGCACCTAACTATTGTATTCATCACGTTCTAGCAAGACACATTTGTTAGAGCTTGTTACCTTGTGATAATCAACTTAGTTACGTCACAACTAGAGCACTAACAATTGGTCACGGCCGGATCACCAATTGTGAGTGACCTCAACCTGTTCGAAGGTGAGCAGCTGTCCTACTACATAGGTGTGTTCGTGCTCCTTACGGTGAGTCACCTCGGCTTGTTCTGCTGTGATTTCCACGTGACCACTGACCATCTGCGGTCAGTAATTCTGTTAGTTATCCCTTATTTGGTACAGTGCTATGATAAATAATGAATAGTGATCATTCAGGTGTACAACACTTCCTGAGCCTACCTGCCAAACCACTCGAAGGAAGCACCAGAACTTAGATACTTCCAGGTTGCAGAACCTTCGACAGGAGTATGCTGGGACTGTTTACGAACCAAAAACATTCCGCTGAGTAAACCCGCGTCTTGGAAGCAGTTGTATTGCAATGTGCCTTGTTTTTAAACGTCAATTAAAGTTCGAAATTAAAACTTATACAGAAATCGATATTCGAATTCCGACCACTAGTTTCGTTATACACTTACGATCTAGAATTTTGAAGTTTTCTCTGTCCGACTCAGGGCTCGACCACCAGCGCCCTATTGCTCTCACTGTTACATACAGTCCCTCACATTTGGGCAGCTTGGTGAACAGAGCTGGTGAACTTTCCACTTGGGATTTTTTCACCAATCGGTCTTGCCTGTTGTACAGGGACACTTCAAACGTCATATTGTCGCACGATTTTCCGAAATCCCATTCTACTGATATTTGTGACTGCTTGTGCTTCGGTTCAACTTTGACATTAGTAGGTGCCTTGAAATCTGCAAGGTAAGACGGTGAAAAATATTAGCAAGAAGCGAACAGTTTGGATGCCTTCTTTAAACAACTACCAACTATGGGCCAAAAGCAAATAAAAGTACTCTCCTGATATTGCAGTTTTGGGTTTTTAGGATAGGCTTTTTGTTCAAAGTCACACCGCTCTCGTTCGAACGGTCGTCATCCTGTTCTGGCGTAATTATTCGGGTGAGTCGACACCAAAGGTAAGCACTGGACTTGAGTTTTGCTCTTATTAAAGCTCATCGGCTGTGCATGTCCAATGGCCGTGTCGGGATCTGAACCCCGGACATTTGACATGCGAGGCGAGCGCGCAACCACTACTTCACCAACGCACGTTGGACGCATCTGAATTTTCACGTCTGAACATGTGGACGTGTTCACGCTTGAGCGATGTGACATTATTTTTTACATGAGGACAATAGCTGGAATTCCGAAGGCGATCAATTTGAACCAACCTAAGTAAGTATTGAAGACAGCACGCAGAGTTCATCACTTTTTCCTTTAGTGGGCAGTGTGAAATACTTTGGCCGGAGGAGTCGCATTTTGAAAACATCCGGGAGCAGGACACCCAGACTTATCCAACCTCACCACTATTGGCTGAATCTACAACCGGAATATCGACCATGTTCGGGGTTGACGACCGCCGTCTTATTATGAATACTCAAGTGTGACTTCACTAAGAACCCGGTGGTTTGCTGCACAAATATACTAGCAGCAATATTCATAACGCCTGGAAACATCACAAACGGGAGATTGAGCTGGGTTCCAGGTGAGTCTCTTTGTCGTAACGGTATCTTTCTCAGCTTAGTTCTCGGTCTGAGCCTCCCAGGCTAGCGGCATTCGGTCAATAATAGGTCATGATTGGTTGTTCGGTTCAGACTTTCGACTAATCATATCCCGGATTGGTGCCGGATCGGCAAGCGTCCCGAACTTTTGACCAATCTTGAGTGGGATCGGCTTCTCGGCCGTAGCAGCACCGGAGTGCAAGTGGTAAAGAGGGATCCGTGCGGAGTTCCGTCTAACACTGTCACAAAACCGAATTTGTTTGCAAATGAGTGTATTTCACTAATACTAACATCGATTTCATTGAGTCATGAACTCAGACTGCATTTGATTTGGGACAGCGGAAAAAAAAACGATTCACTATCTCACCTTCCGGAATCAGCAGCTCAACTGTGTTTGATAATCCACTCTTTCCATGCTTGTTTACACCAGCAACACGTAACGTGTATGTAACGCAAGATGCTAGCCAGTCTAAAACAAGGGTCTTCTTGGAGGTGCTGTAGACGGTTGGAGTTCTTTGCGCATGAACTACGACGTCATATTTTTCGGCAGGACACCGTGAGGCGTCGTCCCAGGAAACACGGATAGATTTCTTCGTATGCTGCACGTTCACGGAAACGTTGGCGGGCTTTTGGGGAACTACAAAGAAATATCGAGCAGTGTAAACGTTAGCAAACGGAACAAAACCTTGTCAGATTAAACCTTTATGGGAAGGTAATGAGTGGATGAAAGTATGCAGAGAACTCACAATGGAATTACAGGCAAACACGTCCCATTACATACGGGACCGATAAAGGTTTATCACATTGAATATGATTAAACGTCGCAGATGCGATGACTGGACAGCACAGATGGAAGCCACTGCTTTTATCCAGTGCAGCTAACATCAGTCACTGAGACTGCTAAAGCGTTTTCCAACCCACACACGTTTTAGACATTTATGCCACCCAGCTTTTGGAGACCGTCCATGCGCTTATTAGCCAGTGGTGTTAGTGTTAAGGACTAGTTCAGCCGAAGTTCGGCGGAACCCCTTTTTAGAATGCCTTGTCTTTGTACTTGAATTATAGGGATTTAGTAAAACTCCAATTGAATTGCTTGTTAACACTACTTCAATTCGAAAATACATTCTGGCGCACAAATATCCAGTTTAGTGCTTGGGCACCGAATGCTCTAGACTGAGATTAGGAGAGCGATACCTGCCTAATTGGCCTCAAAAATTAGGAAAGTGGAGACGGACTGTTAAGTGGTTCTCATGGTCCTCGTAATTAGTGTTGAGTTAAAACAGACACTTTGGTATTTTTATCAAAGTTCTTATTTGAATATGATGTGATCTTTTTATGACACATTTGGCTGACTAATATCACAAACAAGAACTTTATTTGGGATTCGATTTATTTTGTAATTAAAAACGAGTAGGTGTACGAACAAGCCAGGAAACAAGCCTTCCTAATCAATTTGTTGTTCTCTTCCTGTTAACAATCAGCAGGACCTTAACCTTACGACTGACTAGAAATTTCATGCTTCTAACCAGCACACCTACGAAAAATCGTGCCCAAAAACCAGGCACTGATTTAAATTCGTGAGGACCAATACGAAGTGAGGGAAGATGAAAGCATGGCAATTT